ATTGCTTGGAACCATAGGAGTTACATGTGAGAGAAAAAAAGAAGAGAAAACAAATTATGAGGGAACTTGAATACCAACTAAGGAGTATGCAGGACACCAGATTTTAACTTACCCATTTATTTATTTATACATCCCCCAGAGGCAGGGATACCAGATAGGAGACTAGATAAAGAATCTAATTAAGAACAAATGATTACTCGAGCCACGACAGCATTCATTGAAATGGAAAGTAGGGCCTTGATATGAAAGATATTTTTAAGACATCAGTGGGCTGGCTTTGATGACTATATATGGGAAATGCCAGAAACAGAAAATGAAATAGAATCTGAGGTTCCCATAATGGGTAGTGGAGTATCTTGGATGTTGCCAGTAAAAGTTTGTTGAAAAGAATGTTAAAAGCAATTTTCTAGTATTTATCTCTGAAGATGAAATTCAGGTTCTGAGGCACAAGAGAGAGACTGTGGGTCTGAAGAACCTCCTGATACTCCATGAACTTGCACAGTAGGCTTATTCCACTAATAAACTATCTCTACAGTGGGTATTACGAACTGAGTCAGCTCATGAAGCCTACTCTTCAGAGGAATTGAAGCCGATCGCTCCATCTGAGAAGAAAAGGACCCGCAGACTGAACTGTGCGTTACAACTTGCCGTAAATCTGAGGAAGATATATTAGAGACACAGGGTTTTTGCTAACTACATAGACTACAACATCATTTTGCTTTCAAAGTGGCTTACTGTCCAAAATAATACAAATTGCCCAAAAGGGAAAAAAAAGAAAACTGTAATTAGAATCTCAGACTATCGTTAAAAAACCAACAGAAAGATTGTGGTAGGAACATGATGTCTAAGTCAGATTTGAAAGCTTATGTTGTGAGATTTCTTGCAGACATTTATTCCAACTATTTATTTTATCATCTTTTTTGTCTGAGTTCAGTTTAGTCACTGGCTAGATAGGTTCTGTAGTAAAGAAGACCTGTAACTCAGTGAGTCATTATTGAAATTGTGATGACTGGGTACAGTCTTGATATTCAAGCAGCTCCTCGAGCATGGTTTGCAATTCCTTGTGATGCAACACAAGAGAGCACTGGGCTAAGAGTCAGGAGACCAGCCCTCTCATTTACCACCTCTATGTCTCTGAACACATTCCTGACACTCTCTTAGCCTCCAGTTCCTCATCTGTAGGATGGGGATCATAATGGCTTACTCAGTGTACTCCGGAGGGTTGTTGTGAGATCAGAGGAGATGATCCTTGGGCAGATGCTTTGTGATTTGTAAAGCTCTGCTGGTTTGCCCTTCCTTACTATGGAACAGGCATGTATGGAATGGTTAAAGGACTTACGAATCACCACCACAGTGATAATGAGAGCAGTGTGGGCTGGGAAAATGGGATGTGATAGTGCCCTCTCTTTGGCTGGCTGCACAAGCAAGCTAAGACATTGCAGGGTGTCCCCCCTTGGGCTGTTGCACTGTGCTATATATATTCCAGGATGTCGTAGCAGTAACCTGTAGCAGGCAGATGACCAGCTTGTAGTCAGAGATGATCATTTTGTATAAAGACTCTTGGTTTCTTATTGTGGATCCAGGTAGCTCAAGGATAGTCAAGAGCCAAAATAACAATTCTTGGGTCTCAATAGGTAAAAGATTCATAGGAACAATTTTGCTCTTGCTGTGCTTTATCTCCTGAAATGTGAATGTATTTTTACAGCAAAGGCAAATTAATGTGCAAATTAATCAAAACTATTAATTGAAAATAGATATATTTCTATACCTGCTTTGATAATCTGCACTCACAATCAGCATTACTTTTTTTTTTTTCATTTATCTACTCACTTGAAGGCCAGTTCCCTATTATTTCTAGTTGAGGCTTACTGGAAGGATGACTCACATACTAAAGGAAAATGTCCCCATTCTCAGAAAATAGTGCAATTCTCTGAAGCCCAGTTGGATAAAGAAGTGTGGGAAAATTTAAGAATAAATTGCTCATCCTCATTGACAGATGTTCCCCACCAACCCCTCTTTCTTCTCCGAGCGGGTAAAAACGGGCTTCATTTTGTATCAATTTTGTCCCTAAAAGGTGTGAATAGGGCTTCTAATCTGTTGACTTGTTAGCCACCAGGAAAGGGAAGATTAGGTAGTTGATGATATGTCGTGTGCACCCGCACACACACTCGCACACACACACACTCACACACACACATGCACACACGCACACACATGCACACGCACACATGCACACAGTGTGCATGTATGTGTAGAGGATCCGTACCTCTGAAATCTTTTAGGAGAGCTCTTTAAAGAATCATATTTCAATTATGCAGCTATAGTTGTTATAACTTTGGTTCATTGTGGCTCATTAAAAATGGAGATGTAATAACTGGAAGCAAGTACATATCAACATAGAAACGCATATTTATTTTCTTTATAACTGTTCAGATAATAGGCTTTCATAATGTTGCAAGAATATGTCATGATTAGGAAGTTACTAAAACAATTGAATGGCAAAGAGAGTAGTTTAAATTTTAAAAAGGTATTTAATGATGATATTTTAGAAGTAGAGTTCATATTTCCATCTGAGATTAACTTTGCAACTCAAGTCTAGAGCTATGAAGGTGAAACCCACCAATTATGTAACTACCCATAAATCGACATGTTATGGACTGTCATTATTTATGTTTGTGGAAATAAGAGGCAGACGTGGTGAAAAGTGAAAGATCTTTGTAATTTTAGATTTGGGGACAAGTAGTAAAACTTTGCTTTAGTATTACTACTGTTAACGGTTGGATATTATTGGTTAAATTGAGTTATATTTGTAAATATACAAGCATCAATTGTAGAAAGTGATATTATAGATTTTTTTGTTTGTTTAAACACAGAGTAACTGTGCTTCTGATGGAAGGCATCTCTCTGTGCTGCTTTACTTACATTCTCTTAGAGTTTCCTGTCCCTTATGTTTTGTTATTCTTAATTTAAAATTAAACCATGCCATTGAGAATTGAGAATGCAGCCAGTCTCTCTCTCTCCCCCTCTTCCTTCCTCTCTCTCCAAAAATTCAATAAAAAAACATAGCATTGTCCATGCACTGGATGGTCACTGGTTTGATTCCTGGTCAGGGAATATGACCAGGTCGCGGGCTCGATCCCTGGTCAGGGTGCTTGTGGGAGGCAACCAATCAATGTTTCTCTTTCCATAAATGTTCCTCTCTTCCACCCCCTCTCCCTCTCCCTTCCTCTCTCTCTAAAAAGTCAGTGAAAAACATTTAAAAAAAGAATGCAGCAATAGCTTTTATGAAATGTTTCAGACTGCAGTGTAAAAAAGTAAAAAATGGGAAAAACCTCAAAGTACACACTCATTAATTTGATATACTCTATACATTTAAATCTTACTCAGTTTTAATTTTTATTTTGCTTCATTACCTTTTAATTATGAAATAGGTGACATCTCAATATTCTCACCTATGAAGGATGTATGTGGAGAGTTCCAAGTATCTATTAGCATCATGGATGCGAAAATGACATAAAATATGGTCTCTCTAAAAGTATTTTACAACTATTAAGAACTACACAAGCGATTTTTTTTTTTAAATATGACATTGACATTTTTTTATTTAGAAGCCAACATCAGAAAGTCTGTTTGCTGATAAAGAAATCAAAAGACCTTCCTGCTCTACCTTTTTCATTTTTTAAAGAAATAGTGCTTTCTCATCAACATGGAAATTAAGATTCTTTAATAATGTTGGTGAAATAAGCACATCAGTGTAATTTTTTTACATCAGTGTAATTTTGAAGATTTATAAAAATATGTTTTATTGTTACTAAATCCTAATATATATCCAGCACTAAAGATGTGATAAGCAGCCTGCTACAACTGATAAATCTATTTAAGTCTTCTAATAATGAGCATATTTCTATTTAGAGGCCATTTAAAGTATTATAGGTATTCTTGGTGAGGTTACATAGTTCTTCAAAGGAAATATGTATTTATATCCTGCCTTATACATTTGGGCAAAAAATAGTAATAGCACTTTCAAAATACTGATGAGAAAACGAATCACAATAAATATGTTGGATTCTCAAGATAAAGAGATGTATGTTTCTCAGAGTTAACAGCCTTCTGTGTATAAAAATAGTGCAATTGGGTTATACTATTTTTGCAAGAAACTCATTAAGTGCAACTTTGAAAGCTCCTTCTTCCTCCTCTCCTTTTTTAAAAACTTTGACAAGTTCCAGTAAACTGTGAGGAAACTGCCTTTCCAATTGCTTTTCCTTTGCTGAGATGTCTAGCAATGAGAGTGCATTCGAATTAAAAGCAGAAAGTCCCTTAAATTCCTGTCAAGAAGTCCATCCGGTAAGTGCCACTCCTGGGAAGACCATGGCTGTTACTACTTTTGGCTGCAGCGAGATTGCAAAAGTCTTCAAGAAGAAGTGGAAATTGTAATGGAACTTTTCCGTCGCTCTTATAATTTATGGTTTATTTATTCCCTTTTTCAGTCTATTAAAATCCCTTCGCCAAGAAGTCTTATCTCCACAAGGAAATCTTTGACAATGATAAAAACACTATGCAATGAAATACTCATATCCAAAATTCCAAAACATAGTTTAAATTTCTTTAATAGCGATAATAAAAAACAAATTATAGGGACTAGTAAATAGGAAACTAATTATAATTATGTTAAGTGGTTTTCCATTCACAGGATTTATTTTATTTTATTTTGGTGTTCACAGTATTCCTAGTTTTAAGCAAGACTGGTAAATTTGTACCCTTATAGATAAAATTATAGATGTATAAATAATATCAATTACTTGTCTATATGTAATATCTTTATATCCATAATAGATAATATATATTGATATGGATATTCTAGATGAAGATTTAAGACACTTGGGAGGTTGATGTGGCTGCCTCTCAGACCCATGGCTGAGCTGTGGCTGAGCTGAGACTGTTTTTTCCTTTGTGGCTTGGCAGACCCCGTGTCACCCCCCTGCATTTTTCTTGCCTTCTAGGTTTCTCTCCCGGCCCCTGGTGACCCGCATCGCCAGCTGCAGGAAGGCTGTGAATCCACTGTCCCCGGTCGTCCTTTGCCCGATTGCCACGATGAGCTCGCCCGTGCAGCCTGGTCAGTCTCATTGCTTTTAAAACCATTAGCAGTCTTTATATGAAAGATGTTGCTTTGTGTTGCGTCAAGTCAAAAATTTAAGTCATGAAAGGACTGTTGTTTTGTTTTCTGATGAAGGTTGCTTGATATAATGAATTTTGGATTTTGGATTCTACAGCGTGTCCTTTGTTACGTAACCCAGTTGGCTTTGTGGGCAACTAATTTCATTCGCATTGTTATCTGAGCACTGGGTTTTCATTCCTCTGCTTCTAATGTAACATTTGGGTTGAATTTTGTGAAGTTATAAATGTTTATTAAATATAATGCAGGCATGTAACTCACACCCATAGCTTTTCTGACCTCATGTGTGTCTGAATGCTCTTAAATTTTTCTGTGGACTTTGAAAGTCGGCCTGTGGAATCACTCCTTCTTTATCCCTTGACACGCAGGAAGGATATTTCTCCTCTGCACCCTGCTTTACTGTCACCCCTATACACATATTGAGTTATAATCTTAGCACCTGCTTCCTCCAAATCCAGGGTACTGTGTGGCTTGAGTAGTGTGACCAGCACTGCCAACTCCCATTTCTCCAGGAACAGGGTGTCACTTTTGGCACAAACACAGTCCAATTCTTAAGTATGATGGAGTAGGGTCAGAAACCACATGTTTAGCATGAACACATTTTAAAAGAATTTTCCGTTTGGATTATTATAGGAGCATTTATTTCTATACGCTATTTAAAAAACACCCTTTCAGTGTATTGCTATCCTGTGTTATCCAACTTCCAAGGTTGAAGCTAGTGTAATGTTATATTCAGAGTTTATAAAGGGATGTGTTCTGCCAAGATTTTCACTCTGTGGAGTGCCACACCCAGATTAGCTGCTCTGAAAGTTCATGGCCTCTTCAGTCTTTCCCCACAGTCCCAGTAGTCCACCAGCTTGTAGGTTGAATTTGGGACTGGAAATCATTGCAGAGTAGAGCTGTGATTGTTGATTCTAAATGATGTAGCAAAGCTGTTCCAGAGTCTTTAGTCACAGTCATGATTTATAATTGGTATTGTCATCTGGATATTCAGATGAAGTGTTACCTAGGCCTCTTACCTCTGAGTCCCTGTAGCCCAGAGGTTCTCAAACTTTACCATGGGTTAGCATCATTGGAAGGGATTGTTCAAAACAAGCCCCATGCCCATAGTTTTTGACTCAGTAGGTCTGGAGTGGGGCTCAAGAATTGTGATTTTTACAGGTAGATGCTACTGCTGCCTGGGGACTACACTTTGGCAACCACTGTTGAACCTGTTGTACCTGTTCTTTCCCCTGCCTGCTAACTACCCCACCCTCGCAGACAGCCCTGTGTGAGCTGCATTGCTCATCACAGTTATAGTGTAGTCTTCTTATCCTTTCTATTGAGATGAACTTAAAACCATGTTTGCATTTTATAGATGTGTATAGTGCATTTTAAATATATATTACATATATTCATTTATATATAAATTTAATGTTTCAAAATTGCATAATTTAACATGCATTTAATTTAGAAGCACCACAGTCAAGCTTTTTTTCTCGTGGTAGAATGTGTTGGAATCATAAAAACATACTAAAAGCAATAGGAACAAATTGGCTAAGTACAGAAGTGGCAGAAAAAGTGGCAGAAAACTTCCCCCATTTCCAGAGGTTATTGTTTAGAATTTATATAGGAGCTTGTCTTTAATTCTTAAGACCAGAAACTAGACTTTTTATATATTTCTTAAAAATTTCCCATGTCCCTTTTCTGCCTACCCCCTCAACACACACACACACCCTTCCCACATTGTTTGTTACCTCCCGGCTTCGCTTCACAGGAGAGTGACAGGGCATGCTGAATGATGGGAAGATAGAATCTATGACAGTGACAGCAACTGAATCTAAATGAAACATTTGATAGGGCATTTCTACCTGGATATGTAATCTTGACATGGACACAAAGTGCGATACCATCAAGGCTAATGAAGGATGAAACTACACAGGATAAATTTGAATCCAAATTATAATGAAACTCAAGTTATAAAACTTACTAACTTTCAAATAAGTGCAAGTGTAGCAATTTCAGTGTCTCTATGGTCTTCGTTTACCATCTTTCTAACACGTGTAGACCTTGGACCTGCTTGTTTTTAATGAGAAACACGTAGTCCCATTAGAACACTGTTGGAAAGTGGTTAGATTCCCAGTTCAGCCCATCTAGGCCTATTTAAAGGTAACTAGATTGCAATGAATGGATACAGAAATATTTTGATAAACTTAGTTGAAAAAGAAAACCAATGCAATGTAATGAGAACTAATTTTAAATTTTAACATGCTTAAGGAAAACTGGATCAAATGGCAGAACGTTAAACAGGTGAGAGATTTTATGGTGATTCTTAGTGTGAGCTATGGGCACCTTAGAGATTTCTCAGGCAGGTCTGTGCTACATCTAATTTCAGTGTAAAAGTAATATTTTTGGAGAGATCTGTGTAAGGGTGATATCACTCTTCATTTTCTCATCTATATGTGTGAGGGTGGGGTGAGATTTTTGTTATTAATGTTGTTGTTGAGGTAATTGCTTAAGATGTAAAGTATATTGGACAAGAAAGCTGTGGAAATGGTGTATATATGTAACAGATGGTCAGAATTAACATTTACTGAACTTGGTGAGGTAAGGGGGAGAAGTAAAACAGATGAGTGCATGCAGCTAATACCTCCTGAGGGAAAAGAAACAGACACGATTAAAGGGGATTTGAGGTTAAATAGGAGTTTTACTGTCCACCCCGGGTAGGTGGTTGGTTGTGTAGAAAGTGAATGTGAGTCTGTGCTTCAAGGGACTACAATGCATACATAGCTCAGCTCCTTATACTCAAGATGACAGCAACCTGTAGCATTTTAGAAAAAATTCAGAGTTCCTGTATATATATATGTATTGTAAGACATAAGATGGTCAAATACATTGGACTCTCTTTCAAAAAGTAAAATAATACCAGATACCTTGGTGAATTCCACATACAGTAGACCTGACACTAGCTCACAACTGGTAGTATTTGACAATCGAAATCAGCACAACCTGCCCCCCCTCCCTGAATATTCACTTTATAATATGAAAATATCCTTTGAGGCTGCTGTTTTAATGACAAAGTTCTTGCCAGAATGGTAATTGTTCAGTTAAGAGAAGGGAAAAAGTGAGTGATAAATGAGACAACTACTGAGTGAAGCTCATTTGATTGTAGAGTCCTTAAAATTTCCTTGTGTACTTTCTTATAAATACTATTGTTCTGCTGAGAACAGCATTATACAGAGGTCTTAATCAATTCCATTTGGGAAGTTTTTGTGAATGAAATCTGAATTGAGGAAAGTCGTAGCAAATGGGCCAGGTGGATGGGAGTCTTTCCTGTTTATTGCAAGTACAAACCTGAAACGCACTTGGCATATATAAAGGAAAATGTCCGGCCACAAACATAAAAACATTATTCTGCTCTTGGTCTGTATCTTATGGTGTGATAAATATTCTACTGGTGAGAAATAACCTAATAGTTTGACTTAGAAAAAGTGTTTTTCTTACATCTCCTTTTTCTTACCTATGTAAAAAGGAGAATTAAATCGGTCTTATGCCTTCACCATCCATTTATTTTGCTTTTGTTCCTCAAAGGGCGCCAAGGAGTTTTTGTGCACCAGAAAAATAAAGTCATTTCAGTTATTACAGAAGTTATTTAATAGTCAGTTTCTCTGACAGAATATTTCTGTTTGTCTTGAAAATTGGGCCTGGGACGGTGTGAATTCTTATTTTCCCCATGCATTGCCATCATTCTCATAAAAGTTCTCCATCCATATTGACACCAAGTACTGCACATTACTGCCTTGATCATGCATTCTGTCAAAAAATAAGTGCTGAGTTTCGAATATAGAATCACTGGTTTTTATTTCAATCTTGCTGCCCCAACAATGTTCTCAGTCAGGGCACTGGGGAGCCTGAATGGAGGGAAGACTGTGTGGATAGGATTGGCAGCTAGCTGCTGCAATTGAGATAGTTACTCATTTAAAACTTATGAAGCATCTCTTTTTGTGCCAGGCAGTGTGTTATATATTAGGGACACAAAGAGCACACTAAATCATGGTTTCTACTATTATGGACAGTACCATTCAGTGGGAGAGACAGAAGTGGAATAGTTTTGGTTCAATCAGTGTGCCGAGTACTTNAGTACAGTTGACACCAAGTACTGCACATTACTGCCTTGATCATGCATTCTGTCAAAAAATAAGTGCTGAGTTTCGAATATAGAATCACTGGTTTTTATTTCAATCTTGCTGCCCCAACAATGTTCTCAGTCAGGGCACTGGGGAGCCTGAATGGAGGGAAGACTGTGTGGATAGGATTGGCAGCTAGCTGCTGCAATTGAGATAGTTACTCATTTAAAACTTATGAAGCATCTCTTTTTGTGCCAGGCAGTGTGTTATATAGTAGGGACACAAAGAGCACACTAAATCATGGTTTCTACTATTATGGACAGTACCATTCAGTGGGAGAGACAGAAGTGGAATAGTTTTGGTTCAATCAGTGTGCCGAGTACTTTGTGAAATATATCAGCAGACATTAATTTCTTCTGTACAGCAGTATGGATGCCATTTCTGGTAATTTAAGTTTTATCAGGATTGCCAAATCTCCGCAGGAAAGAGTTGAGGGCTCATCTAATCTAGAGTTTCCCAAACATGTCCAATAATAAAAATCACCTGGAGCTCTTGTTAGCAATACAGAGTCTCAGCCCCTCCTCTAAGGAGACTAGTGTGCTAGACCTGGAGGTGGTACTAAGTAGCGTAGAGCACAGTGCTGTTCCCTGTGATTTGATGAAGTGCAGAGATGTTCTTTAATCTAACAAGCTATAGTGCTTCTTACTTTGGGACTCTAGAAAAACAAAAAATACATCATTAAATCCTATCTCAATATAGGTGTTTTCTTTTGTGAGCTGAGATATCTCAGTTATTCTGCTTTCTGACGAATAAAACACAAGTGCTGTTGAAACC